TAGTCATAGGGATTGTTTGTTATCAGCAACATCTCTGGAAGATACAGGAAAAAGGAACATGTCAAATTCAGGGGGGGATTTCATAAAAGCGCCAGTGCCCTGTACTTACCCAGAAGCTCCGGCTTCTTATTGGACAGAATCTGGTAGAAAATGTGATAATCTCTCTCAGCCTTGAGCTGGAAGATCACACGAGATTTCTCCAGAAGGTCTGACAAAGACAAGGCAGGCGACATTTCCCTTTAATGACTTCTACTTGGCCACCAGATTACAACATAAAATAACACAAGTTCCCAGATGATGGTAGATCTTACATGTTTCGATATCAGCAGAGGCTAATTTTCCCCTGGTGTCGAAATGAATGCGGATGAATTTCCCCTAGAAGGATAAAGACACCTTCATGGTTGTATCTTTTTATTATCTTTTTTTTCGGAGCATAACATCTTTTGTCAAAGATGTTGTGGGAACTCACAAATCTGGAGGAGTTGTCATTCCTGATGGTCTTAGCATTACCAAAGGCCTCCAGAGCAGGATTAGCCTGAATGATTTGATCCTCCAGGGTTCCCTGTCAAAGAGGCACCTTGTGTTAACTGTAATCTGGAAAAATAAGTGTTTCCATAGACATTTCATTTGGGGTCAAAGTTTGAAGAACTTTCTAACCGACTAATTTTGAACCACGTTTTTTCCTGGAGTACATTTTAGCTCATTGAATTATCTTCTCTGTTTGTGGGAGCTCATTGCGTACCTTGTCTTTGGCATTCGCGTCTTTCTTCACGCCTCCAGCAGCAATGCTTGCAAAGTACTGGATGACACGCTTGGTGTTTACAGTCTTTCCAGCACCAGATTCTCCGCTAAGAGGAAGAGAAACCCAAAGGCTTAAACCAAAACTTCTCATTTTGAAATGGAAAACAGAATGTTTTAAACTATGCTGATCTTACGTGATGAGGATTGACTGGTTTTCTCTGTCTGTCAGGATTTGAAAGAAGAATGAAATAGGGTGTTTAAACATTTTCAGATAATACCAAAGATCATTATGAAACACGATGAAGGTAAAAGCTTAATCTGTACCTGCCAGCATGTACTGATAAGCATTGTCAGAGATGGAGAAGATGTGAGGAGGAGCCTCAGTCCTCTTCTTTCCTCTATAGGCAACGACCACCTCCTTGTTGTAGACTGGCAGCCACTTGTAGGGGTTGACAGTCACACAGAACAGCCCAGAGTAGGTCTGGCAGAACATCAGAGTTATTGTTTTGGTCAGTATCTTTCATCATAATCAACTTTTAAGCCAAACAAATTACATGCTCACATAGATCATCCATGCTGCGTAACGCTCTTTGAGGTTGAACAGCACAGCTGGCTCATGGAGGAAGGTCAGCATGGCCATGTCTTCAATTTTGTCAAACTTTGGCGGGTTCTGTTGCAGAACATCCGTTTCTTTCACAGTCAAAGTCTAAGAGGATAATCAGATTTATTATTCTTGATTTCTACATCAATATTCAGCATCTCATTGAGGTAACTGACTTGTATTCCACTCACACACTGCTTTGACTTTACATTTTTCACTATAGCTCTTCAACAAATACTTAGATTTACACTCTCAGACAGACATTTACAGACTAACTTTTTGTCACTTTAATTATCTTAATATTTTAACAAAAAAGAACTGTTAAGAGCACTGTGTGGTGTTATTAGTCAGATCTAAATAGGATGAGAATTCATAGACAAAAGGGAGGAATACTTAAATTTACACTCTCAGACAGACACTTACAGACTAACGCTTTGTAACTGTAATTATCTTATTATATTAACAAAAAAAAACTGTTAAGAGCACTGTGTGGTGTTATTAGACAGATCTAAATATGATGAAAATTCATAGAGAAAAGGGAGGAAACATAAATGAACACCCACCTTTCCGTTCTGTGTTTCTACAGTGACCTTCTCTCCGTCTCGGCTGGTGACGGTTGCCTTCACAAACTCCTCCACTGAATCTGGGACGAAACATTCCTTCTTGATATCGAAAGTACGGGTGGAAGCCTCCATCCGCTCCTTCTCTGACTTCCTCAGGAACGGGGCTGCTGCACCGAACACTGACATCTCTGCATCCCCCATGATTCCACTAATGCAAACAGATTATGTCGTTGGTATTTCATCAAATGTTGCATATCTTCCTCTGTATTTTCAGCCCAATGTAGCCCACAGTCTTAAACAATTCACATAAACTTTTGTGCATGGTACCCATATATCAGACTCCATAGATCTCTCAAACTGTGTTACTAATGTTTATAGTTTTCAAAACTGAATGAGAGTTAAAATGGCTTAAAAAATGGAAAATTGATTTACCAGTGGGTTCAGTTCAGGTAACAGGTGAACTTAAGTTTAAAAGTAATTCAGTGGTCGACCTGCAGGAAGCAGAAAAATATTTTTAAACATTTTTGTAGATATACAGTATATACATTTCTGTCTCTGATCATAGAGTACATAAATTAACTTATATTAGAATCAGTGGAAAGAAACAGGTTTAAAATTTAGTTTATCTAGTTTAAAAACAAATATGTAATTAAAAGTAAAAAATACCTCATTTAAATTAGTTAATTGGATCACAATTTGGAAAAAAAATACAGATAAAAAGCGCCTAAAACCCAAACTAGAAAGCATGGTTTGGACTTACAGAGACCAGGTGAGAAGACTCAGCTGCTAGAGCTGCAGAGAAGGCCGGGATCAAATATATAACCCCGATAACCGGCCCTACAAGGCTAAGGACACCAGCCTGACCCTCATCATCATCATCATCATCATCAGGTGCACTACTTCAGCACATATCACAGGCTCTCTCTCTCACACACACACACACACACACACAGGGTGGTAATGGCCATCTTTTCCTGCTGGCTGCCTGTTTTCCTCCTCCTCTCACGCCCCGGTAGTGTGATTTTTCGGGAGCAGAGCCAGGAACTTTCTGGCGCATAACTCCTCTGTGACTCACCGGACGCCGGTCAGCATCTCTGCCTCTGGTTCGGACACACCTTTCCCTGTCATCCCGGCTGGATTCTTTTTCCTCCTGAGGACTGGCCGTGGACAGAAACCAGACGCCCTTTTCTGCATATGCAGAGGACTGAGGAGGAAGAGTGAAAGAACACTATTTTAGTTCCCTGATTGATCAGAGCATCAATAAAGAGTTTAGTCAAGATACAGTCAATAAAACAACGCACATTTTTGTTGCCTCTGTTGTCTTTATCCCATTTTTTCTGTAGTTTTACTATTTATTTCTGCCTTTTTTCTTTTTTTTTTAAGCATATGCACTGATTGATGGCACTTTTTAAATTTCGGTGTTCTTGTGACAATGACAATAAAGATTCATTAATTTAATCCTCTAAAAAAACCCTCTCCATTTTCATTTTCATTTCATTTTTCTTTAAATAGTGATAGCACAAATTCCAAAGCATGTAGAACTCTCTTGCTATTACACTATTTTTTCATTCTCAAACCTTTTCAGACTTGGGGTGCTCTCTTTATCTTTTGTTTGTCAGTTTGTTTGTTTCCTTCCCATAAAAATCCAATATTTACCTGCACAATGAAGCTTTCCAATAACTCCTTCAACAAGTTATGCTTTGCCCAAATATTCAGCCAATCATATGACTTTTTAGGTAATTCCTCAGAAAGATTACTCAGCTCTCTGAAAGCATTTGAACACATCAGGGAAACAAATAGTTGGAGAACTTTTTGTGCCCTCTGTTTTCTGGACACATTTAAGCATTTTTCAGACATTTCTGTCCAAAGAAACTTATATGGAACTCACCAGGAAATGCACCAGTTTATGAGTTTATGATAATGTTATTACCCGTGTAACACTGGTTTGATACTGGTAATTAACATAGTTTTAACTCTATCAAGATGTTTCCACAAGTATTTCAACACTTAGCTGGAAGAAACGGTTAAACCCAGACAGAATGGGTCTGGTTGGATATTAAAAAAAAGACTTCCATCGTGTTTTCCAAATCGTTTCTTTTTTTTTTCTTCTAAGATTAAGGAAGGGTGGTTGGGGGGGAAATGAAAAACTTAGGAGC